CCCCCCCCCCCCATGTCTGACACAGGGCTGACAGAAGAAGAGAGTCGCCGGCTCCTGGATCTGCTCGCCAGGGAGCAGATCCAGGAGGCAGGGGTCAGACTGGCGATCTGGCCCTAATCGTCAAGTTGCAGAGACGAAAGCGGACTGCCACCGCTGTTTTCCCTCTGCCGGCAATCGGAGCCAAGATTGCCCGTGTGGCGGGCCCTAGCGCCATTTCCACTGCCACTCCCATCACTGCCACTGCCACCCATATCACCGCCACTGCCACCCCCATCACCATCACAACTACCGCCAGCACCACCGTCACCGCCACTGCCGCCGTCACCCCCAGACCCAGCACCAGCACGACTGTCACCGCCGGCGCCCAAGAAGAGCCCATTCCACCCCGGTATTTCCGGGTCATCTACGGCAGGCACAAGCCTAAAAAAGTTCACAAAGAATTTTCTCATGATGGCTTTTTAATTGTGCTGCCGAAAATGGTAGAGCTCAGGAATGGGCTCAACAAAAAGTGAGTACATTTCTTTTCCAATTCTAGTTTCCCCCTCAAACCAAAATGCACCTATTTTTGTTTGTTATGATTGTTCTTTTTTGTTTAGAGTGGGCGAGGTGCACAGTTGGGACAGGGAAAACTTCCCTCGGACTCATGACGACAGCACGCGGTTTGTCTGCGCTGGCCGACTGGTGGAGTTTAGTGATGAACTCACTGAAACACAGTTTGAGGCGGCAGTTTTATGGGTCTGACGACTCATTGTACTACCGCCGCCACCACCACCAAGTAAATTACAGACGCTAGCTAGATTAAATAATTTTTCTTTTGTCATTGACCGATCATCTCTCCTTTTTTCTCCTTCTCACACACTTTATAGTCGCTGGTCGTCACTGTCGTTGTTGCTGCTGGTGCTGCTGGTGCTGTGACTACTGGTGTTGAGTTTGGTGCTCGCATGATTACCATCGACAACAAGCAAATCAAGCTGCAGATCTGGGACACTGCTGGTCAGGAGGTAGGTGTCTTTTTGCAGTCCAACTTGGCTTCATTTTCATTCGTATTTTTCTACACGCAAGCTTTTCGCTCCATTACTCGCTCGTACTACTGAGGCGCCGCTGGTGCTATGCTGGTGTACGACATTACCCGCCGAGAGACCTTCAACCACTTGACCACCTGGCTGGAGGATGCTCGTCAACATTCCAACTCTTCAATGGTGATCATGCTGATTGGAAACAAGTGTGATCTCGACTCGCGTCGCAAAGTAAAGAAGAGGACGAGGCGTTTGCTCGAGAGCACGGTTTAATCTTCATGGAAACATCGGGAAAAACGGCCGCCAACGTCGAGGAGGCGTTCATCAACACTGCTTGGAAGATTTACGAAAAGATTCAAGAGGGCGTTTTTGACATTAACAATGAGGTAACAGTTTCAAATCTGTTTACTATTCTTTACAAAGTAACGCAGCTCTATTTTATTTGTAGGCAAATGGCATCAAGATTGACCCTCAGCTGTCGCCCACCAACCCGAATCTCGCCTCAGGTAGTCAGTCTTTGAGCTCTAGCGGAGGCTGCTGTTAGGCGTCTGTCTGGGACTGAGATCACTGTCCAACTATTATTCAGCCCATTCAGTGTGGCAATCTTTCAATAAAAACAAGGAGTAATTTCCTTTCAAATAACGACATCTAATCAACCATTCTTTTAATTGCTCCAAGTGCATTCTTTCACAGTGTCACGAGAACCACCCAGCAAAGTCAAGTACATTTGAATTGAGGCGGAGTACTACAGCAAACTCTAGGTGGACCTAGTCACACAAACTGTGCTTTCTCTTTATCTCCTCAACTTGTATCGGTATTGTGAAAAAATGCAAAAGTAAATTTTTTA